CCATGACTCTGTCGCCAGTTTGTCGATTTTCCTTTCTTGGATTACATTTGGTAAAACTTGACCTCTGCAGACCTGAGGTCCCACCCCAGAAGAGCTGCAGGTTTGGAGTTGCTCTGACCCAGGTGTCTAGCCATTATAATTTGGCCCTTGTTGAAATCACTCAAATCCTTACACTTGCCTATTGTTTTCATTTTCCACACATCAACTTCAGGGACAATTGTGCACTTGCTGCCCAATATATCCCACCTACTTTCATATGCCAATGTAATGAGATAATCAATGTAATTCACTGTACCCACCGGTGGTCATAATGTTATGTTATGAATCAGTTTAATTTTATATTGTTACTCTGAGGTCCAAGGTGCTGAAGTACCACACTGATGTTTCTATAATTTGAGCCAGGGGCGTATTTACCACAAGACAAACAAGGCATTTGCCTAGGGCAGCATTTTTCAGGGGGGCAGCACTGCCCCCTGGAAGAAGGGACATTTGCACCATGGGGACTAGAAGTCAAGAGAACCTGAGGACTGATTGATGGTGTATGCGGAGCCCGCGTGTGTGTTTAGTGGAAGGCTCTTTCTGGGGGGGCAGGGGTGTTATTGGTCAATGTTAGGCTCTCTGCCAGGAAGGGGGGGTGTCTGATTATTTGTTGTTGCCTAGGACAGCACAAAACCTAAATACACCACTGATTTGAGCTATACAGTCTATTTTCCACCAAAACTTTATTTTCCGTTATTGGATTAGGTTTTTTTTTAAATTTGTGTCCCACTGGGGAGTTTTCCCCCAAACTCCGCGGAGTGTAAACCTCACCAAAGAATGGGTACATTTGCCTTAGTTAGTTGTAATAGGAACAGGTCGCCTAATTGGAAGGCCTGTGACTTTATTCAACCTTATCAATTATGTAACTAGGGTTTCCCTTCACCTTCTTTTCCAATGGCAACCATAAAAATTGGATTACCCATCACTTTCTGTCCCAGGCTAGTGACAATGCTTACCAAAATATTGGTAGATTGGGAAACTCTATTAGGTACCCTCTTTCATCCAGTCTCTGCATTGGACCCGTTTCCCCTGAGGCCCTTTTAAATCGCAAACCTGAGAGGCTCTCTATATCCCAATTCCTCCTTAGGACTCATGATCTCACAGCTGCTAAACAGGTCTTGATACGAACTCGACTATCACCATATATTCCTATTTCAGAGGCCAAACCTAAAGTACACTGGAAACTAGTTAATGAAAAACTGATGGCAGAGTTACAAAGCACGATACCTAAATTTCGGCCCATCTGGGATCCCTGGATTTTGACTTTCTTCCAGAAATATTTTGACTGCAGGCTATGAGACTTATTAAAATACATTTCATACTGCCACACACTATTAGACCCCCCCTCCCCCAGGCGACTCCCTCCCCACCTTCACCCCCAACCCCCACCTCTGTTTTTCTTGCTTCTTTTATTTTCTTCAGGTTCCTTGTTATCGCTTTTTCTCTCATTCAATCCTCCAAGCTGCAAACATCACATGCATTCAAGATGCCTTTGTTTTTGTATCACAGCACTCTGACATTAGCTCCATGGCTTAACCTGATGGCCCTCTCATCAGCTCGTGCATTTCCCACCATGTATGTATCTTACTAGACCTTCTTCGCAGGTTCATACTTAAGGTGGAACTTCAACCAAAAGGGAAAGTTCCACTTGTCTGCCTCCTCCCAACCTGCTCTCTATCACTTAGCAAATCATTTTTTTTTGGGGGGGGGGGGGGGGGACTGGTACTGAGTTTTCTAAAGTACCCACTCCCACTTCTGGCCGGATTGCCTAGGCTTCACAGCCAGTTACCATCAGTTAAGATGCTGGTGCCGGGGTCCCATAGACCACTGAAGAACTGGCTCGGGTGAGGACAGCACTAGATCCCTGGACAGGCAAGTGTCCTTATAGTAAAAGTCAGGAGCTATGGTATTTGTAGTTGCTGACTTTAAATTTTTTGGGGGGAGACTGATGCTTCTCTTTAAGTTTACCTCATTGTTACACAGCCTTCTATACACTTTCCACCACTGTTTCTGCTGTTACTTTGTAGATTTTCCGAAAACTCCAAAAAAAATATAGAACAAGAAACCGGAAAGCACTAATAGCCTGATAGTTGTATTAACCCTCCACTACTCTATCTAAAAAAAAAGAAAAAGTTTTGCCTATGGATACATTTTAAGGATAAGGTCATTTTTATCTTTTTGTTGCTTAAAAGAAAAAAATCCAATTTTTCTGGTAACTAATAAGGGTATGTTTTGTGCCACACGTGTCAATAGGACCGCGATGTACTGAAAATTTAACGTTTTGACCTTGACAACTTGAAGTACCGCACTAACTAGCATTCATAAATTATTAGCACGGCAGCGGAGCTGAGAGACTTTACTGGAAAAGGAGGTAAAAAACAAGTGGCATACAGATCGGCCTAATGTAGCATAGTAAATGTGCAATTTGACAAGGCGTCAGTACCACAGACCACAGAGAGAAGAGGAGAATAGTACAACGCCTGAGAGCAAACAGGAAAACATCTCCGCTGCACACAGCCATTTACAAGGGACTTTTCTGCTGCAAGCATCTCTCCTTACTTGCAAAATGCCAAAACATTTTAAAAGTCTTTGCTAAACCACAAGAAAGACTCAGTGAGAGCAGACATTATAACCCAAACAAAACCACCGTCTAGGCTCAGACTTTAGTTTACTGCCCCAGATGAAAATATTTAAAGTGTTACTAAACCCACAACAGTAAAATCAGTCTATATATGCAGTAAAGCATACTTGTTATACTGTGGAACCTAAGGGGTTAACCCTCCACATTGTGTAAAAAGGATGTTTGATCCTGTTTACTCGGATCCTCCCCTTCTTCTACTGTCCCCAATCCATCTCCTAATAGTACAAAGCCTTGGGGGCAGCCTGCACATGCTCAGTTTGGTGTGTATTGCTAGGGAGTTTTTTTTTTTCTTGGGAGGGTGCATGTGCTGTCCATATAGAGGGTCAGGGGTTATGCAGCATTATAGGACAAGCAGGAGAGAATGAAAACTCCTCCTGCAAGCTTTAACCAGTGCTCTGCGGGACACTGATATAAGTCACAAGACTGCTCAAACTGCTAATCGGAAAAGGTATTTAGCAGTTTATATTTACTAAACCAATTGCATTTAAATGTTGTGTGTACTGTAGGAGACCAGATATAGTGAATACAGGGAAGAAAAAACAGAGGGCGCACAGGCCTAGTGCATTACCATAAAAAATGTTTAATAAAAAATAAAGTATGTGTTGTACTCACAAACGACAATATAGTCAAGGCACATCATAAAGAACAGGTGAGTCAACACCGCGCTGAGTAACAGTCCGCAATAGGGAGTATAGACATCCAAAAGGCTGACGCTTTTCGAGGACTTGCCTCTTCCTCAGAGCCTAGTGAATGCAGGGGCCTGGGTTTAGAAACGCTTTAACAACTTCTAGTAGTAAAGATCAGAGAAGAAGTATTCCTTCCAACCAGTGAAGGTGACCATATTGTGACCAGGTCCAAGATAGTGACAATGCCACAAAGGCTCAACTACAGAGGAAGGTATCCCCTATTAAATGTGTCAACTCCATGCTCTGTGTACTTAAACTGGAACTCAATTGTATCTGAGCACCAAAAACAAATACGCTATTTAATTCATGTTTGATTCAAAGCAAACTCACCCATCCATGCACGTCTTCGTGCTTTATTTTGTTAGAAAACACCCTCCTAGCATATCTAATCATGAGCATCTTGAGTAAGGGCAGATGATTCATGTAGCTTTCCATCTGCCCTTAGTTCAGGCATGCAGGCAGGAAAGTGTGCTTAGCTGAGAAAACCCCTCCTTCAGGTAAAAAGACACCTGGGATGTATAACAGCATTTTGGCGGCTAGGCCAGAAACCAGGAAGCAACTGAAGAAATGTAAAACCAAAGGGTAATAGGAGTAAATATGATATACCTTCCTATCTATTCCTATCTATTTACTAAGGCTAACAGCGTAAGGATTAAAAATAGTTCATGTTGACTAAGAAAGATTAGTTAAACTTTAAATATCACAATTCAGCCACCACATTAAACAAATCCAATTAACCATTAGCTAGCCAATCATTATACATAATACATATACAGTACATACTGCATACACATGTTTATATAAATCCGTATATACATTTTTTTTATTCCCATTATTCATAGGGTATTGTAGAGGTCATAATTAGGGTAATTTCGTTTATTTTATGGTGTTTGTATCTGTGTTTTTTTTCTTTGTGTGATTGTTGTTAATTTGTGAAATGTCAATGTATTTTGTACTCAATAAAGCTAATGAGGGCTATTCTTTTGGCACAATAAGTCCTAGATAGTTAAAAGGAGCTTTTGTAATCCTAAGGAGCGGTTTAAAGCTCATTGAGTCTTCAAGAACCAACAAAAAGCATATGAATTTTACTTTTGACTCCAATGTATTTCCAGAACTGCAAAATGCTGCTGAAAAATTGCAGTTGTCAATGAAATGGAAAGTTCACTCTTCCGTATTCATAAATACCATGTTTTTTTTGTGCTCGTTTACCTTCTTTTTTTCCTTCTATGCACCTCAGTCCTTTTTTAGCCACTTCCTCTATACATGCACTCTAACCAGCATCAGCTACACATCAATTGTCAGCATGGCTGCTTGTTATGGTCATCTGGGACTTTTTCACCAAGATAGTATACATTTTAATTTAACATGTATGTAAACTCTAACAACAGACTTCTCTCATTTGCTCCCTTTTGGTTTGTTAAATATGTCATTGAAAACATTTTGCTGTATCTGATAACTGCTAAAATACCTGTTAATAACTGCCAAAAAGCTTGTGAGCTGATAATTTCATCTGGTCTCTGCCACTGAGGGCTATTATCAGTTACATTGTTTGCAGTTATCTCTAATGACTACAGAATAACTACTCCCTATATTATGGAGAAGAGGAGAGGGGAAGGCATTCTTTAGTCCAGTCCTTGGGTCACAATGCTACTCCTCCATAAATAAAGCACAGTGAGTGTGTCACCCTAGTGTAGGTAGCGTGCAGGGGCGGACTGACAACTCATGGGGCTCCTGGGCAATAGGGGATCATGGGGCCCCTGTGTCCTCACCCACACCCAAAAAAGCCTATGCAAAAGCCAATGAAAGGTACCAGGGGCATCTCATGGGGCCCCCTACTGACCCCGGGCCCTCGGGCAGTGCCCGAGTGCTCGAATGGTCAGTCCGCCCCTGGTAGCGTGTTACCAGCAGCATCACTAAATGGAAGTAAAGATAAAGTCTAAGAAAAAAATAATGCAGAAATCACATCTAATATTAATGAGTTCATCTTTAACTTCCCTAGCATTATGATTATGTCAGTATTTCTGTGCTGAAACATTGTTTCATTGCTAGAGAAATAATTGAGTACTGTCCGTGATACATTTTTTATTTGCACTAGCATACAATTTTGAGGACAAGCTTTCGGGGTATATCCCCTTTTTCAAAGTCCAAACAGTACTATTACAAATCACAAAGTTTAAGCAGAATGTTAGAAGGGATTGAGAAAAAAAAAAAAAGGCTACAGATAAGATACATCAAGAGCAAGGGGGGGAGGGGGGATACTACACTCACACAGAGGGGGTCAAGCTTCAGCTAATAGATAGTCATAAAGCTGTCAGATAATGGTTGAGGAATCCCATGTCCAAGTTAAGGCCGTTATCTTTTGTGTCAAATAGAATTATCATTCTTAGTTCAAATGTTTTTCTTTCCTGGATAGATTTGAATTTTCCTTTCAGAACCGTCCATTTTGCTTGAGGTGATTGTAGCCGTATTAGTGCATTTGCGACAGAAACAATTGAGTACTGTCCATGATACATTTTTTATTTGCACTAACATACAATTTTGAGGACAAGCTTTCGGGGTATGTCCCCTTCTTCAAAGTCCAAACAGTACTATTACAAATCACAAAGTTTAAGCAGAATATTAGAAGGGATTGAGAAAAAAAAAAAAGGCTACAGATAAGATACATCAAAAGCGAGGGGGGGAGGGGAGGATACTACACTCACACAGAGGGGCTCAAGCTTCAGCTAATAGATAGTCATAAAACTGTTGGATAATGATTGAGGAATCCCATGTCCAAGTTAAGGCCGTTTTCTTTTGTGTCAAATAGAATTATCATTCTTAGTTCAAATGTTTTTCTTTTCTGGATGGATTTGAATTTTCCTTTCAGAACTAAAATATTGAGGTCTTCCATATTGTGGCCTGGTTGTGTGAAATGGTGTCCTACAGGTGTGCAGAGGTCATCTTCTTTATGTTCCTTGATGGTATGTCTGTGCAGATTCATCCTTGTTTGCAACTTCTGTCCTGTTTCGCCAACATAAGATCCTTTGCTGCATTTTCTGCACTGGATAAGGTACACAACATTACTGGAGGTGCAACTGTATGATCCGGAGATATTGAAGATTGCTTTTGAGTGTCTGACACTTTTTGATGGATTGATTTGGTTGCACAGTTTGCAGCGTTTCTTATTGCAGGGTTTGCTTCAATTATTTGTGACAGAAGGAAGTTTCCTACTGATTAGTTTTTTCTGAGGTTGGGGGGTTGTCTGAAAGCCAGTATTGGAGTTGCTGGAATATTTCTTTCAGAGTTCCATCCTCTGTTATCATGGGTTGTAAATCTTTGATTATTTTTCTTATTCCTTCTAGTGCTGGGTTGTATGTGGTTACTAGAGGTACACGGTTGTTTGTTTTTTTCTCTTTGTACTGAAGTAGATTTTCCCTTCGGGTTCTCAAGGCTGTGTTTATGCCGGTGTTGATAGTTTTGTCCTTGTAACCCTTCTTATGGAAGGCGTCTGCTAGTGTCCCAAGATGTGTATCTCTGTCTCTTGGGTCAGAACATACTCGGTGGTATCTAATGGCCTGACTGTGTATGATGGCACGTTACCGCTTTTCATTGCTAGTAAATTGTTTTGCATGGAAATATGTTGTTTTTTTATTATAGGCCTGTAATTCTTAGGAATAACTCCCTGAAATCTGTCCGAACAAGAGTCTAGTAAACATCCCGGGTAAGATAAAATTTGAAACATGAAATCATAAATTATAATATAATAAATAATCATAAAAAATAACAATATAATAATAATACATTTATTTCAATAATGTAATCAAACCAAAAACACTGAAATTTGAAATATAGCGCCAAGTTTGCACATCACTGAGCAAAGTCGCAAAATCGTTTTCAGTGTCTGATGACGAATTTCCCCACGAATCATTATCACTCAATTCTGCAAGTAGTTCTAATTTACTATCGCTGTTCTCTAGCTGGTCTAAAACAGCTTTTGACGTATAGGGATGCTTTTTGGACGCCATGAACCTTTCTCAGTTTCCAGGCAGAAAGAACAGTAAAAATGCAGGCAGGGCACAGGACAAAGCACTCGGGACACAATGTATGTGATACAGTTGATACAGTAATGTTTTACTATGTGATTTTAGTGTATTTAGTGAATGTCACTTTTAAAATTTTTGAATTTCCCACCGGTTCTGTTCCCCATGCGTCCTGTATGTCCCGACGCTCGCAGGGAACGGAACCCGGAAGACGGATGCCGGCATCGGCTGGAGGAGATGGCCGGGGATGCTGCAGGGGGGACATCGCGGGACCGAAGGACAAGGTAAGTGCAGGAGGGATCCCGGAGCAACGCTGCAGGGTATTCCCGGGTGTAGCTCGGGGTTACCGCTTTTGGTACTGAAACTTTACCCCGAGCTACACTCGGGAATACCGCCAGGGGGGCTAACTATTATAGGCCAAAGCAATATTTACATTTCTGCAATCAGCCCATTAAATCAGCAATAGCATTATTTAAAGTAGCAGTCTAATCTAAATCTAAGCTTAAACCTGTTTCACCCCACTTCTAAGTCCTATAATAAGTAGCCTGTAAAGGAAAGATGTGTATACTTACCTGTCAGGACATGGATCACCTGCTGGTGGCACTGTGGTTCCCAGAGTGGAAGATTGTAGTTTTGGTGTTCACCAGCAGGTGTCTCTCAGCAGCCAGCAGATCCCAGTAATCAGTCTCCACTTGATTCTTGCTGCTGAGAGGGTATTTAGTCCCTACTTTACCTTCTCCTAGTGCCAGGGGTGGACTGACAACTCATGGGGCCCCCAGGCAATAGGGGATCATGGGGCCCCTGTGTCCTTGCCCAGACTCAAAAAAGCCTAGGAAAAAGGTACCAGGGGCATCTCATGGGGCCCCCTACTGACCCCGGGCCCTTGGGCAGTGCCCGAGTTTCCAAATGGTCAGTCCGCCCCTGCCTAGTGCGTAAGTGTTTTTCCCTGCTAGCATGTCATGGAAGGTGCATAGATTTGCACAGGCGCAGGGGTCCTCTTGGCTCCATTCGCTGCCGGTCAGCGGGTGTGCATGCTAGGTGGCACTTTGGCGCCAGGCGGGCTATTTAAACTTAACTGGGACTCTGCCTCAATGCCGTTTGGTCTTAACCCCTGTGCACCTGTGTATCCTGCTACCTGTTTCTCTATGGCTGAACTGATCTTGACCTCGCTAGAACACCGCCTGCCTCGACCTTTGCCTGCCCTCTGGACTATTCTTCTGCCTGCCGGTTCTGCCTTACTTGCCCACTTGTTGCTGACCCAGACCGCCTGACTTTGCTTATGCTGATCGTGCTCCTGACTGGCTTACCCTGCCAGTATCCTGCACATCTGCCTGAAAGCCAGCTGCCAAACCATCTCTGCACCTCTGCCAGTGTGCCATCCTCCAGCAGCTCCTGCATTCCTGACGCACATCATTTCCATGGAAGTCCAATCAGGCACTCATGCACCTCTGTGCTCCGGTGCTCCTTGTCACTTTACCAGGGCCCCTGAGCCAGAGCAGCAAGGGATGCCCTCCTCTACATCTCAGGTTCTACCATCAGGTATGTGGCATAGCCATTCATTACTTGCTGTGCTGTTTGAACCTAAGACAGCTTTTGCCTGGTATCTATATCCTGTGCCCTGCTGCTTTTTACTTGCTCCCCTTGTTCATGATCCCAGTCCGAGTTTACCCCCATCCTTGCATCTCCTGTTTCTCTGTGTTTCCTATTTTGTGCATATTTTATATAGTTAGTGTGCTAGTTAGGCTTTTTCTGTTACTCAGTTAGGTTGCTACTAGGTATTTTGTGATTTGGTTATGATTCACTTATATCTTCATGTGTGCGGTGTTTTCAGTTTGCTGGTGTTTGGATGTGTTTTGTTTTAATAAACTTGCTTAAATCATATATTATCTGCTCTCAGTTTCCTAAGAGTAGCTATACAGATCTGGCCATCCCTGCTGCTGAATGCCTGCAGTAGTTATCCCTGACATACCAGGGATACCTACTAAAGCACCAGGGAAATGTAGGGGAGGGACTAAATACCTTCCCAGCAGCCAGCATCAGGTGGAGACTGATTACTGGTTCTGCTGGCTGCTGGAAGACACCCGCTGGTGGACACTAGAATGATAATCGTTTGCCCTGGGAACCACAGTGCCACCAGCAGGTAATTCAGGTCCCGACATTACCTAATCTAAGGGCACTCTGGTCTGGTCATGTGATCTCTCTAGCAGCTGATTTTAGGAGAGAGGAGAGAGCAGTGACAACAACTGCAGTGCCTCTCCCCTGAAGCAGGCGCTTTGACCAGAGCAGAGCGCCCTTAGATTAGGTAAGTGTAAACATCTTTCCTTTACAGGGTAGTTAGTATAGGGGAGAATGGTGGTTGGAGCAGATTTAAGCTTAGATCATTATAGACCAGATTTAGACCGGATAATCAAGTAATACACACATTGTATTTTTTTTGAACAAAAGGCTTTCCTTTAGTGATATTGACATGCAAAACATATTATATTTTCTTTGGAATCTATGGACAAAAAAAATTGACAAAACTAAACAAGAGACGTTTTTCTACTTTGTATTACATTTTATTCTATAATTTGTCCTGCCTATAATGACACTAAAATTATGATTCTAGTATAAAGCCTAGTATAAAGCAAAAGAATTTAAGTAGCGTTAAACTCTGACAGTAAAAGAACCCTTTACATTAAGCTTCACCCAAATAGTATACAATCATTTTGTGCCACCAACTCTTACCTTTGGATGCCTTTTTTTTCCCCTGGGAACACAACCAAGTGCACAGCAGTAGCATACTCAGTAAGATCCAAAGGCCCTGTTTGGATTGTGCACACGCAATAGGGGCTTTCTGAGGTATGTTACTGGACCCAGCAAGTGCACGTGCAGTAAAAAACCATTGATGCTGTGCCCAAACAGCCCATGCACAGTACTGTGCTTTACAAGGTAAGCACAGTACTGTGCATGTACCAGGCAGCCATGATTGGGAATGCCTAACTAGGCCGTGCCCGCTGGACACAGCATCTAAGCACTGAAAAGCAGCAGCCCCTACTGCACATGAGTTCTACTTAGAAGATACCAGGCAGCATGAGTACATATGCTACCTGAAGACACTTGGGGACCCTGGAGACAAAAATTACACCTGTTAGCTGGAAACTCAACAGTTACATAGTTACATAGTTAGTCTGGCTGAAAAAAGACAAAAGTCCTTCCAGTTCAAACATTAAAAAAAAATAAAGTTATAATCCTACACCCACAGTTGATCCAGAGGAAGGCAAAAAGAGAACAGCAAAGCATGATCCAATTTGCTCCTGCAGGGAAAAAAATTCCTTCCTTATCCCCCGAGAGGCAATTGGATATTCCCTGGATCAACTTTACCTATAAATGTTAGTATCCAGTTATATTCTGTGTATTCAAGAAACAATCCAGGCCTTTTTTAAAGCAATCCACTGAGCTGGCCAGAACCAACTCTAGAGGGAGTCTATTCGACATTATCACAGCTCTCACTGTGAAGAAACCTTTCCGTGTGTTTGGAGATTAAATTTCTCTTCCTCCAGACGTAAAGAGTGCCCCCTTGTCCTCTGTGATGACCTCAGGGTGAATAACTCTACACCGAGTTCACTATATGAACCGCTGATGTATTTATACATGTTGATCATATCCCCCTTAATCTCCTCTTCTCAAGAGAGAAATAAATTCAGTTCCTCTAACCTTTCCTCATAGCTGATCTCCTCCATGCCACTTATCAATTTAGTTGCCCTTCTCTGCACTTTCTCCAGTTCCCCAATGTTCTTTTTGTGAATTGGTGCCCAAAACTGAACTGCATATTCCAGATGAGGTGTTACTAATGATTTGTACCGGGGTAATATGATATCTCTCTCTCTGGAGTCTATACCTCTTTTAATACAAGAGAGGATTTTGCTCACTTTAGAAACCTCAGCTTGGCATTGCTGCCATTATTAAGCTTGTGATCTACCAGAACCCCCAGATCCTTCTCCACCATTGATTCCCCCAGTTGTACCCCCCCTAGTATGGCTGTATGATGCATGAATATTCTTAGCCCCCAAGTGCAGAACCTTACATTTAACAACATTAAACCTCATTTGCCACATAGTTGCCCAATTACACAGTGCATAGAGGTCGGATTGTAAATTGAAGACATCCTGTAAGGACGTTATTCCACTGCACAGCTTGATGTCATCTGCAAAGACTGAAATGGGATTTTTAATCCCAGACCCTATATTGTTTATAAATATATTAAACAGTAAGAGTCCCAACACTGAACCCTGGGGTACACCACTGACAACCCTAGACCATTCAGAGTATGAATCATTAAACACTACTCTTTGAATACGATCTTTTAGCCAGTTTTCTATCCATTTACATATGGATTTTTCCAAGCCCCTAGACTTTACAGAGGAAACTTTCATAGGCTGCACAAAACTGGGAACAGGAAACAATGGTGAAATAAGATATGCAGCTAAATTCATTCATTCTTTTTCTAGGAGGAATAAATATGATTGTAATGAACATAGATTAAAAACAAAAAAAAAAGTTTAAATTATAACGAATAAAGAATTTTAAATGAATACAAAAATTAAAAAATAATGACTAAAGCGAAAAGGGGAAGGAGGTGTTAGTTTGAGCTGATTATAGTTTACTAACAGCTCATTTTATGTATTTGTTTTCCTTTTTACTAGGGATGGTATCGGTTCCAATACCGAGTAATTTCACGAGTACGGGTACTCTTGAAAATGCTCCTGATACCTGAAACTGATACTTTGTCATGTGATTTGCATCAAGACAAAATGTATGGACACAAATTTCACTGCAAAGAATAGCATGCGATTTGAACAGGAATGAGGTGCGATTCCTGTCCAAATTGCATTGTTTGCCACTGCTCCTGTGTGAACCCCGGCTTGTCATAGCCTGAGCTCACACAGGAGTGGTGTGGGAAACCTTCCTGCACTGATCCCATGCTGTCACAGAAGGAAAATCTGGGAATATGAAATCCCCACGAATTTCTTTCCTCTCAGTGCAGGGATGACAGTACGGTCTAGATGGATTTTGATTGGTCAGCAGCGTGATGGGATCGGTGCAGGGAGGTTTCCAGAACGGCTTCCATGTAAACATCGCTCTGCATTCCTTTTCAAATTGCATGCTATTCTTTCCATACATTTTGTATTGACACAAAACACACCCACAAAGTATTGGTACTCTTTATTGGCGACTATTTGACCAAAAATATCAGTACTCATTCTTCCCGATCAAAAAGAGGTATCAGTGCATCCCTGCTTTTTACTGGTAGGATAGTTGCAACTGAAAATAATATATGTAGATTGAAGGTCACCCCTTTGATATGCAAATAATGAGAGACAGGGTGTGCTAATTGCGTCCTCAAGAGGTGACATTTTTGTTCTTGGATTTAGGTATGTTTTAAGGTTTGTATTCAACTTCTTTCAGGTTTTGGTATATAGGTTAAGTTGAGATCAAGAGGTAAATTTCAGTAGTTAGGTTTATGGTTAGAATTAGGTTATGCTTAAGTTAGGAGACAATTTTATTGCCTGTGGTAAACTGTATTTTGGGGGTGTGAGCAGGGGCGGACTGACCATTGGGAAACTCGGGCACTGCCCGTGGGCCCTGGGTCAGTAGGGGGCCTCATGAGATACCCCTGGTACCATTTTCATAGGCTTTTTTTCAGTTTGGGCAAGGACACAGGGGCCCCATGATCCCCTATTGCCCAGGGGCCCCATGAGTTGTCAGTCCCCTGTGTGTGATAAGTGTAAGTCACATGCAATAGACTTTATTTCTGCCCCAAATATCTGGTGGCCTTTACCACCAAAAGCAGATATATCAATTTTCAGAAACCAGAAATGCGCCACTACGTCCACGAGGAAGACCAAGATTCACTATTAAAATAATATCTGAGTAATTTAATAAAAA